TTCCCATGAATTTTTCCAACACTCTGGGACCTTCATGATCTAACCCATACCTCCATATTATTAGAGACTGCCAATCACCTTATTTTTCTTGTTCTCTCTTTCATCAGGCTAGTGGGACTGCATAGCATTTCCTTCTGTATTCAAGGCACTATTTGATGCTTTTAAGGCTTAAGCAACCAAATGGGTAAATGAACGCTGTTCTAAATCAATTTTGTGCTCAGGACAAACCACATTCCCTTTCATGATAACTTAATCTAACATTGCTAATTTGATACCTTCTGATTTTAGAATTGCTCATTCTCCCCACCCACCCCCCACGCCACTTTATATTTTGTTCATGGAGTTTTTGTGTGTGTGTGTGAGATGTAGTATACATTTTGCCAACAGGTCCCTGAAATAGATAATTATTTCAATGCGGCTGGGTTTTATTGCTTCAGCATCATAGTGGTTAGTTCTAAATATGCTGAATCCAAGGGAAATAATATTTCAACAAGTATGGGAGTATAAATGCTAAAGGAAGAAGTAAGCCATAGTCACACCATATAGCACATCTAAACTTCAGACCTCCAACACATTAACTGAATGACATTTCTCTGTTTTAGTGTTTCTGTCATCTCTGATCATCTATTAGTAAAAAATGTGGCATTTAAAGTTTGCTTTGGGTGAAAACATAATTTTCTTTTTCTTCTTTTTTTTTTTTGTTGTTGTTAAAGAGAAAACATTAGAAACTATGCCCATCCTATTGAAAAGCAGAACTTTGGAAGATTATTATACTATTCGATATTCAGCAACAAAGAGAATGGGTAATAAAGGTACAGACAGCAAATGAAATGAGCTAAAAACCACAATTTGAGAATGAGTATTTGTACGTGTATAATTCTTTGACCAAGTACCGAAAATGGATGAAAAGAGACGTCCACGTTGTACTAGCTTTGTAGCTCTTCACATGAAAAGATAGCATTTGTAAAATTTCAGATCAGTTGTACATGCTACCTGACACCACATTGTTTAGTTCTGCAATTCATTCCACACATTTTCTTGAACACCTGTGATGTGCAGGGAACGTTACTGGATCTGTAGTATATGAATCCTTGTGGTTAAAACAGACAGACAAGTCTCTTAGCCCCTGGTCTCATGGAGATTTTCTTCTAGGAAACTCCATATACATTCATTTAATTTTTAAGAAATTAAATTTAAAATTTATAAATGTGGGGGGGCCATTGTTATTAGACAGAGTTAGAATCTAAAGTGTTTTCCTAGGACTGTAAGTCGACTCTTTATAAATGTGGCCAACCTACAGTTTCAGAAACTGGAATACTGAACAAAAATAATTGAAGTGTAGAACATGACTCCCAGCTAGATTTTTGTTTTCCCTTAGTCGGAGTTGGCCTGTTTGTGTTGTAAACCAAAGGGTTACCATCTCACTGCCTTTTGCTCTTACCCCCATAGTCACCCAGTTGACTTCTAAATTTCCGTCTTCTTTTTCTTATAATGTTGAGGTTCAACATCACCTTGTAGGTTGTGACTACTTTTAAGGTGCCAAATAAGAATAGGTAAGATTGACTTATTATGAAATTATGGGAAATATTTATAGAAAGAGTTCAGCTCCTAGAAAACTCAGAACTAGCCTCTACATGCAGCTGAAGAGGAAAACATTATGAAAACCTTTTCAGCAGTTGCTGAATGCTTGGAAATGCAAAGAGAAAAAACAAAAAAAGGCAAGCCAACTGGGCTTCTGTGGCGTTATGTACTGACTGTAGCTGGGATGTCCACGCGGCCCCAAATGCCCACATAACCGAGGAGGGTCCATCAGTTTCAGTGTAAAAGTTTTGCTCTCAAAAGGCTGACCTACTTTAAAATATCTTTCATCTCCATCATAGGGATAAACTATTTTCTCCATCAAGAAGCAAGGGGCAGTTGTAATTTTTTTTTTTTAAGTTCCATATTTTTCTCCTATAAGACAAGTTGTTGAAGAACTGAATGGATGATTTTTTTCTTCAGGCCTTTCAATTCCTCTCCCCTCCCCCCCCCCATCAAATGCTAAACGCAAGGCACTTAGGAAAAAATGGAAGAATCTTAATATTTTATTACAAACTTCAGTCATGCTAAATGCAGTCATGATGTTGAATACTTTCATTCAATGCCTGCTGTTTGATCATGGGTCTGATTTATTACCCCTATTGACCTTGAAAAGGTTCATAGCAATCTTCTGAGGAAAACAGCTGGTAATTCCTGGTTGCTCTTGGTAATCAGAACTTTTTGCCTAGGGGAAAATTGAAACTTTGGACCTCCTCCTCCCCTCAACCTTCTTTTGTAACCTTAGAATGAATGATTTAGAGACTGAACTTAAAGTAGAAGGTATAATGTTTATTTAAGACTCAGTGGCAGTTTAGGCAGAATCTGGGATGGGACAGGACGCTACTCTTAAAAAGATGCTTTAAAAAGCTACTTTTAGGGTACTGTTTCCCTGAGTAAAATTCTTTAAAAAGACCTATCTTCAGTTTTCTTAGAAAAACTAATCTGCAGTGAGGTTGAAATGAAATAATTTTCTTTCTTTCCACATAATCCATCATTTTATTGTCTGAAAACTTCCGGGTTTAGCTTTCAAGGTTTTATTTTATTACACTGTGATAAAATTTCCAATGGAGGGATTAAATTACATACCCAGGAAGCACTTCGCAAAGGACAAAGTACCAGAAGAAATAATATTAAATATCTTCCGAAGAGAAAGCTTCCAACTCAATCTGACAAAGAAGAAATTCAAGCCTAGAGGTTGACCTGATCCCTCCTTATGAAGTATGGCTTTCCTGCTTCTAGATCAGTATATCTTTTTTAGGTCAGTAGTTTTATCAGATGAATCATCATCTCCCCTGAAGTATTTACTAATATTGGAATTTAGATGCTGTGTGAGAAAAATGAGGGTGACCTCTGCCCAGGGAGTTTGTTTTTTGTTTTTTTTTTTTTTTTTAGAAGGCAACTGAATATTCTCTGTCTCTTGATCCTCTGACCTTCATCCATCAGGCGCGATTTCGGTTACTGCAGAGGATACCAGGATCTAGAATGTACTGTGCAAATTGTTCTGGCAGATCTTCGAGCTGGTCCACCTACTTTTGTAGCACAAACAGCAAAGGATTTTCTATTTTTTGTTCGTTTGTTTTTTCCCCCCTCAAGAATATACGGCATGCTGCTATCTTCTGTCTTCTTTGGGTTTTTCCTGATGACTGTCTTCATACATTTTATTGGGTTAGTAGAAGAATCAGTCTTTCTAACTCCCTTGCCTCTTTAGTAGATGAAAATGCTAGGGTGGTTCCTTAGGCCAATAATGTCTTACCGCTGTCTTACTGAAAAAGTCTTCCACGAAAGGAATTGGTTACACTGGGAAGCACAAGTGCAGAGTTCGGGAAGAACGTGAAAGATTGTTGGGTCTAAAAGGAGGGATCAAATGTTGCTGTGACCAATTTTAGACCACACCTGAAGAGCAGGCGAAAGGGTCTTTCAGTTTTTCTGAAACTGTGTTGTAATGACAATATGGTTTTGTGTGTCTGTGTGGTTTTGTTTTCGTTTTGTTCTTGACTTTGCAGGAAGAGGTTTAAACATGAAGGCAACCCTTTTAGATGTTAGCATGGCTATACATATGAAGCAAAGCTGCCTTTTTTTTTTCTTTTCTCTGCTTCCATTTAGACCTATCACATAATTTAAGAAAAAAAATAAAACGTTAACCACAGGAGCTCTAACTATAGTGTGAAAAAAAACCCTGATCAATTTTGTTTTCGCAGCACGATATTATCAAAGATTTAAGAAACAAATTTGCCAGCCTCGGCGAGAACTCTCTGGTAACAGCATAAATGTCTGTGTTGGTTGCTTTTGATTTGAAGGTTTCTTTTTTTTTCGTTTGTTTGAGCCCATTTCTTCCTCCCCTCCTCCTTTTAGTTTACTTTCTTTTTCATATTCTGTAACTAGCAAGCCTTCATTTTTTAAACCTCTTCCATCTTCCTGTGTCTATTTTCCGTACTTTGGATGGAAAGTTTATGGCAGCAAACTGTCACTCTGGCTACTTCTGCTGCGGCTCTTCCTGCTCTTAGGTCATATATGTTTTGGCCGTTGTGTTTATGGACATGATACTAATTGACCGTTTCATGTCCCATTGACTAAGCTTCTCTACCACGCCATTTGATGGACTCGCTGTCCTAGGGCTCTATGCAACTTCCATTTTGCAACTTATACTGCTTAGTTCCGTCTCAATTCTCCAGCGAACTGGATAGCTCAAGTGAATGATCCTACCAGTCTTGAACTTGCTGTGCCTTTATATTTTATTTTTATTTTCTTCTTTATGTTTTCAGTGGTAGTCTCAGTGGAAAAGAACCAAACCCCAGCCATTGCTCGAGCAGCACCATGCAGTATCGTTTGTTACCACCCGAGAATACAAAATATAAAGGCACATTGCTTCTTTTATTCTTGGGGGGGGTGACCGGGGAGATGCGTATCATAAGTCCGCTACTTAGTTGAAGCCTACCTTTTTTATTCATATCCGCTTTCAATTTCGCTTAAACTCCAACACGTCTCAGTTCATGTTTTCCTGTCATTTAGTGATAACTTGCAACTCGAGCCATTTGCTGAGCAGTATCAAGTTATGGCCATGGCATGGGAGATGATTAAAAACGTGACAGACTTCTGCACAAATGTATCGTTCAGAAAGTGCACGTTTCAGTGATGAAGTTCAGTACTTCAAAACTGTGATACAGGCTTTGGACTAATCAAACAATTAAAATTGAGAAAATCCATCCGGATAAGCCAGTACCAAAAGTATACCAAGAAAAATATAAAGGGCAAAACCGAGAGTTGAATATTGTTAACATCTGTTGAATAACATTGTTGGTGTTGAAATGGTCCATGATGTTGTCATAGAGCCCATACATGAAGAGATGACTGAAAATATGGTCTGTAGAAAGCTGCTGTGCTTCATGACAGCCGCAACATAAATGGTTGGGATTTGTGTTCAGGAAAAAGAAATGGAGAAGCAGAAGCTTCTGTACCAGCAAGCCAGGCTCCATGACCGCGGGGCTGCTGAGATGGTGCTACAGACCATCAGTGCCAGCAAAGGTGAGGCTCGCTGCTCCCCTCACACCCCTTCAGTCTCCCGGAGCACCCCTCTTTAACTCCTCCTGACTTATCTAGTCCCTGAATCTCTTGTTCATCCCTAGGTCAGGTGACTTCAGAAATGCAGGCTCTCATTAACCCAGTCCAATGTGGATTTTTTTTTTCAGAATCTTATTCAAATATTTATTTTATTTCTGGTCCTTAAGTTTTGGAAATTCTGTCGTGACACAATAAATCAGGGGTGGGTCAGTGTTTTCTGTGAGAGGCCAGATAGTAAATATTTTCGGCTTTCCTGGCTGTGGGTCTCTGTCACAACCCTTCGACTCTGCCATAGTAGCATGGAAGCAGCCAGAGACAATATGTAAACCAGCCGTGTGGCTGAGTTCTAATAAAACTTTATTAAACACCCCTCTCCCAGATCACTAAGGTATTTATTTCTATTATTCTATTATTATTTCTATTTCTGTTATTTTTATTATTGTATTTCTAAGATAAGTAGAGGTGGATAATGTAAAAGTAAAATAGACTAAGGGTAGACAACTGGTTGGATTTAAATTTTTATCGTTATTGGGGCACCTGGCTGTCTCAGTCCATAGAGCATGTGACTCTTGATCTCAGGATTATGAGTTTGAGCCCTATGTTGGGTGTAGAGATTACTAAAAATATAAATGAATAAATTTTGTCATTATTATTTGAGTGACTAACTTCAAATTAGGCAGTCATCCTAATAAAGCAATACTATAAACATAGTAAGATAAAAAGTGCTAAAATGAAAATTATAAAAGTTGTTCAAACATAATATGGAAGGGAGAGGGGGTGCCTGGGAGGCTCAGTCAGTTGAGCACCTGACTCTTGATTTTGGCTTAGGTCATGATCCCAAGGTTGTGGGATTGAGCCCTGCATTGGAGCCTGCTTGGGATTCATTCATTCATTCATTTCTCTCTCTTTTCTCTTTCTTTTCTCTCTCTCTTCCCTCTCTCTTCCTTTGCCCCTTTCCTCTGCTTGTGTGTGCTTTTGCTCAAATAATATATATATATATACTATTACTTTCTATATATATATATACCTTGAGAGAAGAAGAGAGAGAGAGAAAGAGAAGAGAGAAGAGAGGAGAGAAGGAGAGAGAGGAATTTTCCTTAAAATTCTAGGGTAGCCCTTATTATTTTTCAATAATAATTTAATATGCACAATTAGTTTTGTATTACCTAGTTTTCAGGTGTATTTAAAAATAAGACTGTTCCTTTTTTTTTTTTTCTCATGATCCTCATCCTGTTTCACATCTGGATAATTCCACAAGATGAGTAAAACACACTGCTGGCAAAATAGGCATATTGACTGCTTTTAGTATTTTTGACTTGTAAGTCAGTCTGTCCTACATACCTGTTCAGATTTGTAGGGGGTGATAATAATTTTAAAAGTATATGTTTTGAGAAGGAAATGAGTTAATGAATGTTAAATGATATAAGACGCGTTTTTATATTTAAAGTGATACTGACCAAGGACATGAGCGACTTTATGAAACTTGGAATTTAAATCTTACTTAGAACTCCAATCAGATTCAGCAGGTAAGATCTTGAAGCCATCCACAGAATGTTCTCTTCAAACAGAGGGACCCTCTTGTCATCCCTTTGAGTTATTTTAGTCATCCTAAAAGCAATACTGGTTGTACAATTTTTCATTTCTGTGTAAAATAATGCCTTTATTTTATGGCCATCAGTCCCAGGATTCAAACATGTAGATAGCACCCTGCCATGTGGGGCACTGACTCTCTTGAGAAGTCCTATATCACATTGGTGTCAACCTACATTAAGCTGAACACTGCTATTTCAAATGGTTGTTGTTGTTTGTTTTTTTTTAACGTTTATTTATTTTTGGGACAGAGAGAGACAGAGCATGAACAGGGGAGGGGCAGAGAGAGGGAGAGCACGAGAATGAAATGAAGGCTCCAGGCTCTGAGCCATCAGCCCAGAGCCTGGCCTGGGCTCAAACTCCGACCGCGAGATCGTGACCTGGCTGAAGTCGGACGCTTAACCGACTGCGCCACCCAGGCGCCCCTAAAATGGTTTGTTTTAATAGTGGGGGGAAAAGTTAATATTCTTACCTCAGGAGCCTAGTTTGGTGATATGTTTTACAGTGTTACATGTCTTACAAGTTGATTCTCAGGATTTTGTCGTATATTTGGTGAGAAGCCTATGTCTTGGTTAACATGGAAACAGAATACACTGTTTAAAATATTTTTTAGTTGTAATTACAGTCTCCCAGGGCATGAAAAAAACCTCTTCCCAGCCAAGTTTTGTAGCTATGCCCTGCTAAGAAGTTAGACATGATCTGGGCTGAATTTTAGTGACTTCAACCAGTTACGACAAAGGATATATAATCTCTATATCCCACTGAAGGCCAAGGTCTGTGAGTTTGTTAGAATCAGAATGTTTGAGTGATTTAAAAAACTCTCAGAAACAGACTGTCACAGGCTCTGTAGTGCACACCCCTGGGGACACTACTCACATGGCCTACAGTTGTGGCCGTGAGCTCAGAAAGAATTCTTAGGCTAATTGAAGAACAGCAAAACAAAACATGAGTTAAGCAGACTGTATTATTCTAAAACTAACATGGATCTCATATTTTTCTATACTGGCTTCTGTATGAGAAAAAACAGTTTATGAACATGGAACTAATAATTATTCTTTCTTGGGTAAGTTTTGGCGAGGCAGGGAAAGCACTACCCTGTTGGAAGGAAAGGAAGGGTAGTGAAAACCTTGGAATCTTTGACTTCAGGTTTCTGGGAGCCCCAGAAACATGACAGTGGGACAAAGCCCTGTATATGTTCCCAGAAGATCTTTGAGTCTAAGGAAAGCAGAGAAAATTTGAAGGTTGCCTTTTGGGTTGGTGAAGTTTGGGACTAGGTTAAGTTGGCAACCCAGAATAGCTGAAAAATTCGTTTGTACACTTTCCTCAAATTGTGTACTCTATTTTTTTTTTCTCCTGCAAATATAATCATTATATTTTTGGACTGGAGGAGTACATAATGTCATCTGGGGTGCTTAACTTTTTCTTTTTAATGCCTCTGACAGCTTAGTGAAGCGTCTGGACTCCTCTTGGTTTGACTTTTTTAAATCACAAAGTAAAACTGCACCGTTTCTAAGAGAAACCAAAAATACTGAAATGTGGTTTTTCAGAGCATTATAAACACATTTTTTAGCAAATTCATTTGTGCTTCTTTATGAACTCCTTAAATGAAAGATGTAGTACTTGGTCTAATTATTTGAGAAGAAATGGTTCGTCCAGGTGATGTGAGATGAAAATCTCTGGAATTTCTATTGGTGACACCGTCAGAGTTACTGCTAATCTGACCTGTGTTTGTTGCTTACATTAATAGTTGAATGGAATGCTAAGTTTCCATCACAACTTCGTGAAAATAATGATGTCTTTTTTTTCCCCCATCCAATTTACAGATGTCCCGTTTTCATTTCTATAGTAAATGACTACATGATGTGAAAAAAAAGAAAATCTAAAGAAAATCTATTTAATCTCTTTAATCTCCCCATAATAGTTAACAAATTTCCCTTGCTTTATGTTTTACTTTAAAAGTTCTTAATGATGTAGCATTTAGATTCAGAAATCCTTGGAGTCAGAAGTAGCCGTGAGAAATCATATAATATATGCACTTCCTGTGTATCCAGGCCTTTCCTTTTTTTCTGTAAACCTTCAGGTACATATTCTACCACCCCGCTTTAATTCTCTGAGCTACACTCCTTGTCTTTAAAAGATCCAGAATTAATAAGTGCCACACGTTTTATTAGACCAGTAAGTTATCACACTCCCCAGAAAATGGCTAGGTGTTTCGTGTTCCTATTTTTATGTATGTGTACATATATACATACATATGCATATACTGTGTGTATGTGTGTATGTGTGCGTGTGCACAGCCTTGACGTTATTTGGTAGCTGTTAGTCAAATCTTGGGGGGAAAATGACTACCAAAACTTACTGTTCGGCTAAGTCCCGTTTAGACAACACTGGTGATAGCAATTATTCACATCTATTCAAGATTCAGAGAAGAGCAGTATCTTTGTTTTCTTGAAACCTTTGGTGTGCCTTCTATCATTTTATCATCTTGTATGTACTTCTTGTTTGAAACTTCCAACACTTACTTCATCCACATTGAAAATAGCTGTTTCATTTTAGTATATAATAATAAGTTAAGGGGCACCTGGGTGGCTCAGTTGCTTAAGCGTCTGACTTTGGCCCAGGTCATGATCTCAGGGTTCATGGGTTCGAGCCCCAGGTAGGGCTCTGTGCTGACAGCTCAGAGCCTGGAGCCTGCTTCCGACTCTCTGTCTCCCTCCCTCTGCCCCTCCTCTACTCGTGCTCCTGTCTCTGTCAAAAGGAAATAAATGTTAAAACAAAAAACAAAACAACAACAACAAGAGTTAGGAGGGTGGAGCCATGTACTGCTTTAGCATTTTTTACGTTTGTGTTTCATCACAATTTTGGGCACAGAGACTGGACATCGTTCTGACAAGAGAAGAGACATTTAGTGGTCAGATGATTGCTACCATTGCTTGGGTTTAGAGACCATGAAAATGGAAACTAAATTTCTGTCTTATACACATAGGTCTATAATAGACAAATAATGTCTTATAGACAGTAGCATATGGAAGTCACACCACATGGATTATAATGCCCTTTAAGAAACTCAGCTTTTGGGGCGCCTGGATGGCTCAGTCGGTTAAGTGGCCGACTTCCATTCGGGTCATGATCTCGCGGTCCGTGAGTTCGAGCCCCACGTTGGGCTCTGTGCTGACCGCTCAGAGCCTGGAGCCTGTTTCGGATTCTGTGTCTCCCTCTCTCTCTGACCCTCCCCCGTTCATGCTCTGTCTCTCTCTGTCTCAAAAATAAATAAACGTTAAAAAAAAAATAAGGAACTCAGCTTTTGTATGGGAATCTCTGCCTAGCATCCAGGTGGGCCTTCTTCCCAGTTGAACTAGTTCCCAGATGAACTAAGTGTCTACATCTTCACATCCTTAAAGATTGACTAGAAGAGTTGAGAGTATTATTTCCATGGATATTTATGGTGCTTATGATGTTTATGTAAAGCAGCTGTCTTGTTCCAAGCCACCTGTATATACTGCCGACATTGAAACGTGCAGCTATCTCGTTTTGACATTCTGGTCACCATGTCGTGGTAAAGATGACAGTCGTTTTCGTATGCACTAATTTTTTAAAGTCTTTATTCCAGAACAAAAAGCATGTTTTTGATGTTTCTTGCTTAACAAAAAATAAGCTTTGTGTTCAGTGGCCGTGTGGTTTGTATATTTACCCCTAGAAAATGCTCGACTATCTCAAGGAGAAGAAGGACGTGGGTTTCTTTCAGAGCCTTGCCGGCCTGATGCAGTCGTGCAGGTAAGCCCGCTCCTTCCTTGTTCTGGCTCTACTAAGTGGTTGTGTCTTTCAAGGTGTTTGTTTAACATTACTGACAGTAATTCTACACAGAATATTTTTTAGTGATTCAGTACACGTCAAAGTAGGACAATTGATGGTGCCTTCTTTCCTGCCTTGTTCTTAGGTGTTAGTATGCCGTAATTGCTAACTTACTCAGCGTTAGTAATGTCTTTAAATAGTCGTCCCTATTCTTAAATAGGGACCTTGGAGAATTAACGTATATGCTGCACACTTGAAAATGAGCAGTGTGTGCATTTTAAAAGAGAAAAAGGGAAATTCTAATTAGTTTTCTTTGAGAGCTTGTGGACCACTTCTCATTTTCCCTAAACAAATGATCCCTAACCTCATTTATGGTCATCATTTTCTATTATTTGCAGTATTTAAAATCACTCAGACAGCACCTGACAAAGGAATCTGACAGATAGTTAGTGTAATAAGCTATTCCTTCTGGGAAAACATGATTATTATAATTACATTTCAGTGTGTCTGCTAACATTACAGTGTACTCCCAAAGTCGAAACCCATTAATGCCTTCTGTTTGCCTCGCCCACGGATCATTTCATTGCAGGCCCTGGGGAGGGACTGGGCCGCTCCTGGAAAAATATGGTTGGTAGACATTGAATTGGGGTATGTCTTCAGGGTATGTTAATATTTGGTTCACATTTCATGATATAGAACTTGTACACATTTGCTCTCCTGAAGAAAGAAAATTTTCTCCTCCTCTAAGCATTTTTCTCCCTGCTATTGTAGCGTCCTCGACCTAAATGCATTTGAGCGGCAGAACAAAGCTGAAGGACTTGGAATGGTCACCGAAGAAGGATCAGGTATCAGTCACTTAAACTAAAAGGGTCACCTGTCCCCTCTCCCCCCCCTTTCCCGAGATGAGTCAGTTACCAATTATCTTTGCAAAACAGAGAGATGTAGGGTTATTTTTACCTGGCCAAAATGCTTATGTGACTCATTTAAAAGTTCACAGTCGGGCACTCACTCAAATCATACCCAAAACCCAACTTTCCCAGTTGACCGTTAACTCCTTTTTTGTTCCAGACCTATTGTAATTGGCCTTTCCCCTAGTTGGTTAGTAGATCAAGATCCCTTACAAGAGAATCATCTGTGAAATTATAAAGCATATGGATGAACCAAATTAGAGGATATTGGACTTTTTTTTGGCCACTTTCGCAAACTGCCAAATCTTCAGATTCCTTGGTCTCCTTAGGAAAGTGACACTTTGAGATCCTCCGATGGACCACTATCCCGACAGTCTCCTCCCTTATAGCACAGATATCTTTGTATCTCATGCATCCCTATGTCTTCACAAGTCCAAATTTGATGAAAGAAATTAAGGAGTAATTCCTAATGTTAAAATAATTCTGATCACTTAATTTACATGCACACAAATATAATGACTCACATAATCTTAGACTTTTTTCTCTGTAAATAGATGTGTGTATAAACTAGAAAAATTAGTATATACTATAGTGAAAGCAGAAATAACTATTGCTGCACATTCGTTTTTAGTATTAGGAAAAAAATCTTCAATATTTTTTGTCTCGATTTGTTTTTGTTCTTTTGTGTTTGACATTTTTTCAATTAATTTAGTTTCAATGAGGCCCTGTGTGTTGATCTGTTTTTGTTTGTTTGGTCTAGTTTGCAGTGGTCATATTATCAATGCATTAGTTTTGGCACATCGGATCTTTGATAAAACTAATCTTGTTGCAAAAACTAAATTTTTCTTTTTGCAAAAACTAAATTTTATCCTATCTGCCATTTGCAGTCTGCTTACCTCTCTGAAATATTTTAGAATTAACTAATCTCTCTTATTTCTGCATATTTTTGTTTTCACATTAGGTAAAAGGATTAACTGCATATTTCTTACTGTTTTTTAAGAATTATCAATGATAGGGGCGCCTGGGTGGCTCAGTTGGTTAAGCGTCCGACTTCGGCTCACGTCATGATCTCACGGTTCGTGAGTTCGAGCCCCATGTCGGGCTCTGTGCTGAAAACTCAGAGCCTGGAGCCTGCTTCAGATTCCTGCCTTCCTATGTCTGTCCCTCCCCCGCTTGCACTCTCTCTCTCTCAAAAGTAAAGAAACCCTGAAAAAAATTAAAAAAAAATTATCAGTTATACATATTCTAATGCTGCTGCTACACTACAGCTCCTGTGTGCTTTTATTTTCTTGTTGACATTTGAATGTATAGATTCCACCATCCAGAATTAGTCCTACAGTTACCTGTGTAAGCTACTTTTAAGAAAAAATTGCCAGCAGCACTGTAAACTTATTTAAATTTTCTGAAATGAATATCCAGCCAAATCTCTTGATGACTTAGGTTTATGTCACCAGTGAAAACACTGGCCCGAGGGCCCCATCCAGAGAGCTCAGAGCCCCTACAAATCTCAGAGCCCGTTACCTGCCTGCCTCTAGAGTCTCCAGGAAGCCTGGGCATCTCCCATTAGCTGTAAAGTGCCTAAAAGGGATGAATTCTCTGTCCAAAGTGGGACTTCCTGTCTCGGAGTTAGAAATCAGTTTCATTTTTCCCTGCAATTATTACCTGATGTTCCAGAGGCTCTGAACACAATTGCATTCATCATGCTTTGCCATTGTTCATATCCGCGCAGGAATAGTGGCTGTGCAAAGTTAGCTTTACAGGGTCTCCTACCCTTCGTCAACCAGCTACGGATTGGAATGACATTCGTGAGTCCCGAATCAGAAATAGCTGGGTGAGAATGACCATTCTGACGCGAGAATTAGTCACATCTGTCAGTAGGAGGTTGATTTGATTTGTTTATTCTTTTTCAACACACACAAATAATTGCCCAAACTGATTAACACGTTTTCTATTGTATTTCCTTACAAACAGCAAGACAAAACCAACATCTCAACTTATTTTTTCCCCGTTTCCTTTTCTTTCACCTGTAAATGTACTGTCCTCCTTTCCTCAGCCATCACACATGAGCGTGGTAATTATTACAAATGATCTGCCTTTTATTTATTTGCTCCTTCATTTGTTATTAGCTTTGTGTACAGTCTTGACAGTGAAAGTTTTTTTGTGCATTGTTTTCCCTTTGGTAGACTGTTGAACGAATAGATGATTTAATTTCCATCATTATGCATCCTTTTATTTATAGAACTTATATACCAAGCTTTCCTTTTTCTCTCCATGAGGATGTTCAGTTATGAACATATTAGACAAAAAGGGTCAAGAATTTAAGTTACGTTTTCAGATTTGTTTCGTTCTGTTTCGTTCGTTTAAAAAAAATTCTGATGGACCAGTGTTTGCAACTGTCGTGTAAACGAACGAACCATAGATGTGTGCGGTGGTCTCTCTGTGGCGTTTCTGTCTCGGACGTTCTGTGGCTTTATGGCTGCACCAATGGGTGCATGGGAAATCAGTGGTGATCCGGGGGCACTGTGTCCTGCTGAGTCTCCTCTTGGCCAGTGGGTTCTGCCAGTTCCCTTCCGATTACTGAGAGATCTACAGAGTTTTTTTCTATTCCTTTGAAAACATCACACATTAGAAACCTTCCTAACGTAAAAACTGTGTTTTCATTCTTGAGACCCAATTTGAAGAAGCAGTAGCAAACTAATAACAAAGATGGCATTGGTAGTTCAAAGTAGTTTCTAAAAGACGTTATCGGCAGTGGTAATAAAAGAGGGATGAGACTTTTGAGGAGTACCTGGAACGTCAGCACGGCTTTAGAGATTAAATTGTGCTTTCTCAGTACACACTCTTGCCTTAATCAAGACGCCTATTAGAACACACGACGGCAATTCATTCACTCTATGAATAATTATACTACCTCCCAGATTAAGAATACCTATAGCAACTCTATCTTTTGGCATATTTAAACAATTTCTGTGCCATGCCCATTTTTTTACGGGTCTACAGAAGTCAAGAAAAGTTTGTACCCTCATAAGGAGAGGGAAAATCAATCATCCCTCTCAGAATTCATAGAGAAAGCTGAAAACTCCCCATCTGTTAGTGATGTTGTAGCTTTAAAGCCTGAGACCCATGCAGTATAATAAACTCAACACTGAGAAGACAATCTGATGAGTTAAATTTTCTGCATCCCAACCACCTGTCTCTAATAGGCTAAACCTCTTCCTGATGATGATAAAATGGCTGTAAATTATATAGCCATGGAAAATGTCTAACTTAAATGCAACTTTTTGAAACCTACAACCACCAGTAAGGTATTGTCCCCAGTTTATAGGTATGGAGACTGAGGGGTGGAAAGGCTACATGGTTTGTCCAGGATCACACAGTGAAGTGACAGGGTCAAGACTGAAATGCAGGCTCTCTGCCTCCCACTGTTACCAATTTCATGAGCCAATCCCTTAGCCCCATCTTTTAATACCTTCCGGGGGTTTATTTTATATTCACCATATCAGCTTAGGTGGTATTTTTTGCTTCTTATTGCTTTTTACTCTCTTTAAAGACACAAATCTCTTGCCAGTCTTTACATTCACTGTTGAAGTTTTAAAATCACTTTGGAACTTTTATGGTTTTATATGATATTCCTAAACCGGTATTGAGATACCATTAGGAAATATGTGCCTTTTTGTGGTTTGTATATAAGGATTTCATACGATTTAATATTAATTCCTGTTCCTACCATTGTTACTGCCATGAAAGTTTGCCAGTATTTCTGTCCCTCCTTAGTAAATTTCCCCCTTTCCTGCAAAAGCCTGGACTTCCCATTTGTTAAAAAAAAAAACAAAAAAAAAAAAACGCAGTTTTCTTTGGCAAGTGTGTTGTTAGACTTGTGATGTGTTCAATGTTGTCTTCTCTGCATAATTTTTTAATCACGTGTTTTCTTTTAACGTATAATGAAGTTCAAAACCAAAAACCTTATGAATATTTAAAATTTCATTCCATCCTTGGATTTTTTTTTTCTCAGAACCATTTAACCTCATTACTAAGTCATTATGAGCTTGAAAGTGCAATTTTTCTTCTTTCCCACTTCTTGGAGTGTTGTAGAAGATACTTCATTTTATTTTTTGATCATTTTGTAGCAGCCCTGGACTTCATCAACAAGATGAAATTTTGAAGCTGATACAGTCCTCAGAATTTTTTTTTGATTTTTTTTGAACATTTTATATAAAACAACTAACATTTCACCTTTCTAAATTTCCATCTGCACTTGGTAATGCGCCGAATTGAGGTTCTTACTCGGGATATTTATACTGACCTCATCAAATTTGTATGAAAATGCAGCAAAAGAATTAATAGTTAATTAGTCAAAATGATAATTTACACAATCTCTAAGCATTGGCTATCCTAATTTTTTGTTAGTATTTTAGTGCTTAATTGTTTACTGTCTATCTCCCACCCCAGATTTGCAAAGTCTGACTCAAGTGTAGTTCAGCTTAGCTCTCAGTTCTGACTACACTGCTCTGCCATTCCTCTGGATCAACCTTCTTTTTGAGGAAAGCATGTGATACTAGTTCATGGCACGAAATAAATTTTCCTAACATCCTTGTACAGTTTTTAAACATTGAAGCACTAATTGAAATTTGAGTGGCTATTATGTGCTAGACCTTGTCCTAGGCATTGGCGTTCTTTACGGACTCAGTGTTATGTAGATAGACTTGTAAACGAATAACTTCAGAACCCATGAGCTATGTGTTATGAGTGAACTGAGTTGAAGTACTTGCCTGCCAGGCTGATGGGTTAAGTTTCACAACAGAAGTAACATATGGCCTGAAGTAGGCGTTTACCTGGTAGATGAGAAAGGCGTTGGATATGCCAATGAAAGGGAACCGCATATGCAAAGCTTAAGGTACAAAGCATGACGAAGAACATTACTGACCTAGGGTGGTTGAAGAGACATGAACAGACTAGAGGCTGGAAAGATAGTTGGTGGGAGGCTGTAAAAGGCCTTTTGTGCCATGCCAAAGAATTCATACTTTCTTTCTGAGGCCATGAAGAGCCACTACGTAAGTAACACTTCAGTCGTGTTGTGTGTTGTGTGATGGTATACCTGGCATTAAGTCCTAACATACATTGTTCAAGCCAGTAACATTAAAGCAAACAGATTTCTCATTTCTCAGTAATGCTAGTATGCTAACTAAACACTGAGTCCTCTAACATTAGCAGCATGATTTCCTTCATGGAAGTTGGGGAGCTCTGTGGTTATATCTGATGATAGATTGAGGGGATTTTGAGAGTAGATTTTTCTCAACTGCTGTTAAAGGAGTCCATCTTTTTGTTGGGAGTGTTTTATGATTGGATTGCCGGCAACTGTCGTTGTAGGCAACAGTGTTTAAGATGGGCATTGCAGCCTGAAGGGAGGGAGATCAGTTAGGATGTTGGTTAATGGAATGGATAAAGAACAGTAAGGATTTCAGTTAGAGTAATGGGAGCTCAAAGGCATTAAGACGTTATAAGAGAAATAATCTGAGGATCACATTTGAAAGCAAAGGTATGTTTCCCTCCATAACTAACATGTGCTTTAATTCTGTTATCCATGGGACATACCTAATTTATTTCACACAGTGGTCATTTTTATTGTCTTGGGATCTGAAATAGGAATGCATTTTATGCACTCATGTCACATTGAGTACATGGAATATGTAGATTATTTATCACACCCCACAGCCCATTGAAAGTCTTTATTTTAGGAACCTAGGTCTTTTGAACCTGTGCCTTCCTATCATTGAAAATTCACTTTTATTCCTATTGTGCTTTGCATGTTTCAAAGCAAATGTACTTGTCTGAGCCAATTTTATTCTCCCAACAACCCTTTGAAAGTAAGGGGGTGAGGAGATCGTTAATTCCCATATCAAAGTGATGCAACAAAGCCTCAGAAAGGTGAATTGACTTTCCCAAAGCCACATGTCTAGAAAATGGTTTTCTTTGGGTTCTAAAATTGATAAAAAAACAAGTAGGAGTTCACAGTTTAACTAACATATAGTACATGTAGTCGGAGGTTGTTAGCCAAAGATCTGATCAGTTACTGATGTGAACTTTGTGATCCAGAAAGACCATTTGGTATTGAAATGACCTTTTTATTGCCTATCTTTTCCATTAGACTATGAACTTCTTTGAGTTAGGGCTTGTGTCCATTAGTCATAATTATATGCCCAGGATCTCACAAGGTGCCTTCCATGTAGGAGACACTTAATGAATGTTCATCGAAGTTTATTGGACTCAAATTCTTTACTAGTAAATTGCTATAGGACCTCAGTCAAGCTACTTAATTTCTCAGTTGTATCCCACAAAATGGGATTCATGTCACCTGATTCATAGGATTATTATAAACCTAAAATGAAATGATAAGAAAATATATCTAGCACAATGCCTAGCACACTATAGTCACTAACTAAATGTTAATTGTGAATACATTTTAAAAATTGTATCCGTTGTTGGTTGAATAGTAGTATAATTTAAGTGGCCACTTAAACCATTTAAGCAGTGACATTAAAATTACCCACATGGAACCAAATACCTGACTTTTCACTATTTAAAAATATTTTTAGCCTTAATCTTTCAGTTTTGCCATTATACAAAATAGGTATTTGAGTCCTCTAAAGATCACTGAGCAGAACTATTTCTTCCACGGCAGGGGCAGGGGGAAAACACTCTTGAGTTCCATATAACAAGCTTTTGTAGGGAGTTCTTTGATGCAACCAGTGTTAACATTTCATGCCACTCATCCTTTTAGCTTTCCATTACTGGGGATATTGCCATGAAAAGACATTACAACAAAGAGGATCTTAGTCTTCTGATCTATGTGTCCTAAATCAATTGTTTCTATATATCTACTCGGCATTTCACTTATTGCCTTCATTTTATCAACAATTATTGATAATTTTTAGCAAGTAATAACAATTAAACCAAGCGTTGTCTCAAGATAAGGTTGTAGATGTCGAGCTAAGACCATGGGTGTTTTAGGTAGTCAATAAAAACAAACACTTAAGCAAACATTATATACTTTTTAATACCAATTGTGAGTAGAACAGTGGCCTTTAAAAGTGTCTTAACTTGATTAGATTTTTAAAATAGGAATTGATTTTACTGGTACCTTGCACAAATAAGGTGTAATATTATTTCCAAGTGAAATGGAGGTTTTGGAGACTCTTCTGGTCCATTAAAATTAAGATGGCTTTTTGGAAATAGAAACACTTTTAGTAAATATGTTCAAATGACTGTATTCATCACATAGGCATGTTGTTCCCATGTTTATTTAGTGGTGTTGCCACTGCTACTGATAATGTTGACCTCTCCACAATATCTAAAAATGGTCACATCAATTATGAAGAGCTAGTGAGGTAGACAGTGCCCATGTTCCTCTCGTTTTATGGATGAGAAAACTAAGGCACGAAGAACTGTCTCATCAGCAGCAGCAATATTGAAACAACTCTCCCTATATTACAGTATTAGAAATCATTAGCCCCTTATAACTAAAAATGAAACCCAAGGAATGTCCTTTACAGTATTATTTGACCGTCATGCAGCTATTACAAATAGGAATTTTAAGAACATCAGAGCACTTTCAACTACATTTTACTCCATTTCGTTGTTATTAATCTTAGTTTCCATCTTGCAATGGAATGTCTTTTGCGTACATCACAAAATAGACCGTGCATCCTGTGCCTTCTGCAGACATAAAGCCACCACCCATCTCTGTTACTGTACCACTTACATGCAGCATGGGGAATGGCAGCATTTTAATCAGATAGTAACGTGTTCGTTCAGCAATAGCACCCCAGTTTATACCTCGTTGTCACCTGATGGTAAAGGAAGGCTTGACCCGCCCCCTCCCACGCTCCTCCCCTATTGTTCTGCTGTGTGCAGCGTGTCCTTTTGTAAGTAAAGTTACTTGTATGTGTTTTGGTATACAGTCGAGAAAATACCGTGCATGCCGACAGTAAATCCTTACGTTATAAATCAGTGTGCATTGCGCAGGGCATTTTCAGGAACACAGGTAGACTGTGTGATATTTATTTCCTTGTTAACTTTTCTGAATACTTTCTATCAAGGGTTACTTATTCCACATGGAGTATGTGAACATTGAAAGTACATGGTTTATTGATTCAGTTTTCTAGAGAAAAGCATTTTAGATGGGCTCGCAAGGAAAGAATCAGGAAGACTGTGTAACTCATAATATTATGTTTTAAATATCATTTTAAAGACTCGTCTGATTCAAACAGTTCATGGAAAGATACTAAGTATCATAAGTGAAGAGTTTGGTTTATTAGCCTAGACTCTTCTCCCTTTCTTTCCTATCCCGTCATGAACGGAGACACTGAGGAATGGGCTTATCAGCCACGTACTGAGAGTCAAAGCAATGTGCACTTAAACTTGAATTTGCCACACAACTGATCTATATGCATGGTGATTTTAGTTTGGTCACCAAATATCATATCTTGCAGGGAAACCAGTACAGTGATTTTATGTACTTTTTTTAATGTTTATATTAGTTTTCAAAATGGTTTTGCTTCCTAACCCTCCCATTATATGAAGCCTCTCACTTTGAAAGTCACAGACTGCAGACTGGTAAGTCCATCAGCTCTCTGTCATTATAATCATTCATAATTTTAGTTAAAGTAAACACATGGTCATTGCATAGTTTTCTTTCTCGGCCCAAAGTATTTCCAGTCTGAAAAGTTATTATCATTTTTTTTAAATACATAAGTACATTCATTCACTTGCCAAACGACATTTTTGTGTCATTTTGATTTCTAAGCAACAAATTTAGATTCCAGAACATACACTCATAACGTTGACAATTTTTCCACTGGCACTCTATGCTTTCAATATCAACTTTCATTTGTGTGGTGCTGTTTTTTCGTTTGTTTCTTTCTTTGTGTTTTTGCTTTCCAAGTAACTTGTGACCAAGATACATTTTGATTAAAATGTAGGTAAAATATCTGAACCCTTTTCTGAGGTGTTTACCCCACAAATATATTAGTTTTTAATGATTCTGAGTAACTTCTATGGCTATATTAGTTTTTAATGATTCTGAGTAACTTCTATGGCTATGAGATAACCTTCTTTTCACCTTTTGGTTGGAGTGACTCATACAGCATGAGCCACCAAAGTCTTTCATTTGGTTTGATATGTAGAATTAGGTCTGTTTGCTAGTTCTGTCTCCTCTGAAAGTAAAGTTCCAACCAGTGGCATGTCTATATCACATTTCTGAAGTCTTTACTTTTTTAAATCCCTTAGGCAAGCTAACGAGATAGTTAATTGAAATGAATCAAACATTTTCTAGTCATTTACAATTTTCACAAGATCCTTTAATTATTCATTAAATAGAAGAAGCTCTCGGTCCTGTTTTATATATGCAATGAATGCCTTTGCATTGAAATAATTGGTGGTTCTCTGGGAGCAAAGTAGATTTCACCTTGGCATTTGTAAGAGATGTGGACATCATTCCTATACACACCTTACAAAAAAACAAACAAACAAAAAAACAAAAACCAAAAAAAGGAAGTTTAAATCTTCAGGTTGTTTCTAAAATGTTGCCAAACCCATGCTGCTACTTTTAACAGAGAGAAATATGAGTTTTAAGATTCAAATGTTCTTTTCTGACAAAGAAAAAGTGCATCTATCTGCCAAGCGCATGATCGTACAAGCTTCAGATAGACGAGTGGCTATGATTTGTGACTGTTTTTGGTTCAGAACGATGCTAGATCAACATGCAAGTTTTCTGGAGGTGGGGAAAGAGAGGGCGGGACCAGCGAGGATAGTTGATCATGTCTGATCTCTGGATTTTCTGCAGGAGAAAAGGTTCTCCAAGATGACGAGTTCACGTGTGACCTCTTCCGTTTCCTCCAGCTGCTTTGTGAGGGACACAACTCAGGTTCGTGAGACCCCAGACTCTATGACGGTACCAAGGAGGAAGTAGTTTGAAGCCAGTAGTGACAGGGGCCCGCTCATTCCAATTACGCCTTGTCCCTGAGTCCACAAACATTCTAGAGTATTCCTCCGTATGCTCACTATACACTGTGACATTTGATGCATTGCATCCCTACTCTCAAAGTCCTTTGCTGGCCGCACCACTTAATTCCTAACACTTGTTTTTCTGTTAAATCAGGTGAAAAAAGATACGAGGTCTACAGAGAGCTGTATGGGTTTATTCCTTCCTACCCCTTCTCTTTAACTGGGGAATCAACTTCATAGTATCACTTAGCATAACATATTTCCCTTTGTTGTTTATATAACAAGCTCTCTCCCAGACTTGTGCATCTGTGAAGGTAGGAACTGTATCTTAATTTTATCTTTGTTTCCCCAGTACTCAGGAACAAATGATTACTGAATGCATAGTTCAATTACTCTTTCCTAAACGGCGAAACTCCTTCCGGAGATGCCCATGGCTGTAGGGCTAGCAATCAGGAAACAGACGTCAGCAACCACTTAGACAGAAATTGGAAATTGGTACTCTCTGAAGCACCGAGATGTTTTGGGGGTGCTCCCTTGAAGCACTACTCTTAGCCACAGCAATTTTGCCGGAGGCCTCAGTTGCTTTTGGAGTTACTCGGATAACTCATTCAAAACTTTTGACTCAGCTTTAGTAACTCCTTTTGATCTTCCATAGATTTTCAAAATTATCTGAGAACTCAGACTGGCAATAACACAACTGTCAACATCATCATCTCTACCGTAGACTACCTACTCAGAGTCCAGGTATGTCGGCTTCTCTTAGTGACGAGTGAAGGGGGTTGGTGAGTGGATGTGATGTGGTGGAGCTATTAAACCGACATGTTTTAATGCGTCATGATTGTTGGCCAAACAGAATTTTTTGAGATCTTTTGTCTTTGATCACAGTCTTTCACCAAGTTTTAGGGGGGACCTGCCTCTGTTGTCTTTGCCTCCGATCCTGACTCCTACTTTGCTCATGATTTTCTTTCTGTAAGTGGGAATTTCTTTTCCCCCTTATGTTTTTTAGCTTGATGGCACTTTATTTTTTTTTATTTATTTTTTTAATTTTTTTTTTTAATGTTTATTTAGTTTTGACAGAGAGAGAGACAGAGCATGAGCAGGGGAGGGGCAGAGAGAGAGGGAGACGCAGAATCCGAAGAAGGCTCTGAGCTGTCAGCACAGAGCCCGACGCGGGGCTCGAACTCACGGACTGTGCGATCATGACCTGAGCCGAAGTCGGACGCTCAACCGACTGAGCCACCCAGGCGCCCCTAGCTTGATGGCACTTTAAATTCATGTCGTTTTGGAAAGTACTTACGTACTCTGCTCCTTCTTCTAAAGTTGATAGAGAAATTAGGAAGAATATTTGAAATATTTTTAGGAATGCGAAAGAAAGGCTTTCAAAGTACCCACAATGTACTTACATTTGACAGGTAGTTCTTTTTAGCTGTCCCAATACTTGAATTAATTTTAAAATCCAGCCTAACACTCCATCAGGTAAAAATCTCTGTGATATTGTAGTCATCTTTCACACATTGGTGAAACTGAATCTGAAGGTGTAGGCCTACCTAGGTAATGAGAGCTCTGTACAGTTTTTATTTCCCTCATCTTATTTATAAGAGTAACCAGATAGAGTACTTTAAAACCTACATGTTCAAACTTACAGTTTTTCCCTTAATCTTTTGAGTATGTAAAAGCACAACCCTTTTTTTTTTTAACTGAGAGCTTCCATTTTTGAAGCAAATACAAGAAATATTGCTGAAAACATATTTGTGATTTTTAAAATCATGTCTTGAAATCCAGATGCAATTTACATGCTAGACTAAATTGTGTTATTCCCGGGGCCTTTGGTGGCTCAGTCAGTTAAGCGTCTGACTTTGGCTCAGGTCGTGATCTCATGGTTGTGAGTTTGAGCCCCACGTCAGGCTTTATGCTGTCAGCGCAGAGCCTGCTTCGGATCCTCTGTCTGCCACTCTCTCTGCTCCTCCCATCCGTACTGGTTCTCAGAATAAAATAAATAAACTAAAAAAAAAAAAAAATAAGTTTTATTATTCCTTTAGCCAACTAAAATTCCTTCCAAATGTAAGTTATTATTGAAAACATCCCGTTCAGAAAGATTGATCTTGTTTAAGGGCGCCTAGGCGGTTCAGTTGGTTAAGCATCTGACTTAACCAACATTTTGGAGTTCTCATGAGGAAACGTTAGTGAACTTTGTTGGAAAAAAAGGAGGTCAGATGTCTGTAACCCCCAAAACATCCAGGACTTGTCTAATGTTTGTACTTACATAAAATTACATAAAATTAATTTTGCTTTGCTCAGTAGATAAATACGCATTAATCTTATGACTCCTTATGTCTGTGAAATTCAAAGTCATCAAAGACAGAGAGTCATTATTTCAAGCTAAGTTTTCTGCTTTTTATCTCTAGTTGTTATCTCTGCCTCGGGAAGACATTGCCACATTTTCTGTTTAGGAAAATCATTGAGAATAGTATTTACTTCACAGATATTTTTGTTTGCTTCCAAATCTTGTTATTTAAAATGATTTCCTATTCTAGATTTCAAAGCCAGGCAGGTCAGTGGTAGCTTTAGAATGTGTCTTAATCCTATCATCCCTCTTTTGCAGGAATCCATTAGTGATTTCTATTGGTATTACTCTGGGAAAGATGTTATTGATGAACAAGGACAACGGAATTTCTCCAAAGCAATTCAAGTAGCAAAACAAGTCTTTAACACGCTCACAGAGTATATTCAGGTAAACATTTAAATATTTCTGCTGTTTCAAGAAAAAAAAGAGTCAACTCGTTACCATTAAATTCCGTGGAGAAATGCAATATGCCAATTTTCCTGCTGTCATTCACATTCGCTATTGACCTTTCACATAGATTCTTAACCAATGACAATTAAATATCAGGTTGAGGTGTGAATTTGTATGGCATGAACTTGCCTGACCATTCGGCAGATTGAGTTATTATTAACTCCTTTCAGGGGTGAACCAGGATGGGGACTCTGTGCTATCTCTAGGGCCTGGTGTGTATTAAGCACTCAATAAATATTAAAGAAGGGAGGGAGAAAGGACAGAGCAATAAACTACTCTTTATTGTATTCCAACAAAAATGAGGAAGGACTTTCATAGAAACCTTATATAAAAGAGAATGTGTTTAAGACTTCACTGTGGAAGGAGTCCAAATGTCCATCATCAAACAAATGGATAAAGAAGATGTGTTATATATCAGATATACTACTCCGTAATGAAAAAGAATGAAATCTCACCATTTGCAACAATATGGATGGAACTAGAGGGTATTATGCTAAGTGAAATAAGTCAGAGAAAGATAAATATCATATGGTTTCGCTCATATGTGGAATTTGAGAAAAACAACAGGTAAACATAGGGGAAGGGAAGGAAAAATAAGATAAAAACAGAGAGGGAGACAAACCATAAAAGACTCTTAAATACAGAGAACAAACTGAGGGTTGCTGGAGGGGGACAGTATGTGGGGGAAAGGGTTAAATGGGTGACAGACATTAAGGGGGGCACTTTTCGGGATGAGCGCTGGTGTCCTATGTAAGAGATGAATCACTGGGTTCTACTGTTAGCATACTGTATGTTAACTAACTTGAATTTAGAAAAAAAGAAAAAAGAAAAAAAATTTAAGAAGAAACCATTCAAAAAAGCCAACAGCTTCATTTTAGTACATATGTATGTGTGTGTGAAGGCACATACACACACATACATATAAAATCATATAATAATGTATGTTACAGGTAGAACTCCAATAACCATGAAGAAAATACCTTTTTGGGGGGGCACCTGGGTGGCTCAGTCGGTTGAGCATCCGACTTTGGCTCAGGTCATGATCTCACAGTTTTGTGGGTTCGAGCCTCGCGTCGGGCTCTGTGCTGACAGCTTGGAGCCTGGAGCCTGCTTCAGATTCTGTGTCTCCTTCTCTCTCTGCCCCTCCCCCACTTTGTCTCACTCTGTTTCTCAAAAATAAATAAATGTTAAAAAAATTTTTTTAAATACCTTTTTTTTTTAAACATCAATTCATTTTATGTTCTTCTTAGGCTATATTTCTAGTCTTGACCTGCAGATTTTTAAAAGATTTTATAAAATTTTCTTTTTTTCAACCAGGGGAAACTTTATTATTATCTAGGGGACCAGTCAGTCATCTTTCCTTTCAGTGTTCTGTCTCCATGGCCAGTTTGACTCTGAATCAGTCAGTCTGTTTGAAGTACCATGTGCCAAGGATAAATCAGGAGGAATAAACTTAGGTTGTGTCATTAGACTAAACATAATCTTGCGGCAGAAAGAAGTTAAGTGAAAATGACAGATGGTACCCCAGAGCCTTGCATAGCTACCGGTGTTTATAGAATGACTGAGTACAAGAACACGGGGGCCAAGTGAAGCCAACCGAGCTAATGTCAGACACTTAGCCGACTGAGCAAGCCAGGCACCCCCAAAAGCAAAATTTTAAATCTGTTTCAGCCCCTCACATTCGCATTCCCTTGTCTTCCCTGGCTTCCACTATTGCCTTCATATTCTCATTATTCTCATCCACGCCTAGAAAAGTATCAATACAGCATTCCGTGTCAGTTCTCTTGATTAAAATATGATAGTTATCTGATAACATGAGCAAGCCAAGGGACTTTTTAGGAAGCTAATAAATGGTTTCTAAGTAACATATGGAACTTAAATGCCTTTTAGGTGGAGAGTGAGCGTTTCCTGGTTTCTAATATAGGTGAGATTCCTGAATTTATATAAAACAAGAAGAATCCATTAACCTCTCAGTAGGTGCAAAACTGTTTTTTTTAATTGAGCTGGACTTGACAAAGCATTAAGTTGGTTTCAGGCATACAACATAATAATTTGATATCTGTATATATTGCAAAACGATCGCTGCAATAAATCTGGTTAACATCTGGCACCATGCATAGTCCTAGAGTTTCTTTCCTTATGAGGAGAAAATTTAAGATTTACTCTCATAGCAACTTTTGGATATGTAATACAGCATTGTTAACTATTGTCGCCGTGTTGGACATTCCAGTCCCTAGATTTATTTATTTTATAACTGAAGGTTTGTACCTCTTGGCTCCCTGTACCCATTTCATGTCTCCCCCAACACCACCACCTCTGCCAACTAGCAGTCTGTTCTGTGTGTTTATGAGCATATTCTTTTGTTTATTTTTACATTCTACATATAAATGAGATCATACGTGAATTGCCTTTCTCGGTCTGACTGACTTCACTCAGCGCAATGCCCTCAAGGTCCATCCGTGTTGCAAATGGCAAGTTTCTTTTTTTTTTAATGGCTGAATAATATTCCATTATGTGTGTCTGTGTATGTGTGTGTATCTCATATCACATTTTCTATCTCCATTCATCCATCAGTAGACACTTAGGTTGTTGCCATATCTTGGCTGTTGTAGGTAATGCTGCAGTGGACATAGGATGGCATGTATGTTTTATGTTTTGGAGTTAGTGCTTTCATTTTCTTCGGGTAAATACCCAGAAGTGGAATTACTGGGTTATCTGGTAATTCTGTTTTAATTTTTTGAGGAAGGCCTGTAGTGTTTTCTGTAGTGACTTCACCAATCCCACTAACAATATACAAGGAGTCTCTTTTCTCGACACCCTTCCCGATGCTTGTTATTTCTTACATTTTTTATAATAGCCGTCCTAAAAGGTGTCAGGTAGTATTGCATTGTGGTTTCTATTTACATTTCCCTGATGATTAATGATGTTGAGCATCTTTTAATGTACCTGCTGGCCATCTGTATGTCTTTTTTAAAAAAATGTTTTTAAAAACATTTTTAAATTTTTTTTTTTAACATTTATTTATTTTTGAGACAGAGAGAGACAGAGCATGAATGGGGGCAGGGCCAGAGAGAGAGGGAGACACAGAATCTGAAGCAGGCTCCAGGCTCTGAGCTGTCGGCACAGAGCCTGATGCGGGGCTCGAACTCATGGACCGTGAGATCGTGACCTGAGCGAAGTCGGACGCTCAACCGAGCCACCCAGGCGCCCCTTAAAAACATTTTTAAATCTGCTCACGTTTTAATCAGATTATTTTTCACTGTTTTATGAGTTTTTATATATTTTGGTCATTAACCCCTGATTTACATATATTTTCTCCCATTCATTATGTCCTTGCCTTTTCATTTTGTTGATAATTCCCTTTGCTGTGGTGAAGCCGTTTAGTATGATGTAGTCCCATTTGTTTCTTTTTGCTTTCGTGGCCTTTATATTTGGTGTCAAATCCAGAAAAATTATTGCCACTATTTTTTCTTTAAAGAGTTTTATGATTTTCAGGTCTTCCATTCAAGTCTTTAATGCATTTTGACTTAAGTCTTGTATATGGTGTAGGAAGGTAGTCCAATTTCATTCTTCTATAAGTGGCATATGTTGTTTTCGCAACACAATGTATGGAAGAGGTTGTCCTTTCCCATTGTATATTTTGGCTTTTTTATCATAAATTAATTGACCACATACGTGTGGGTTTATTTCTGGGCTCTCTTCTGTTCTCTTGATCTATAGGTCTGTTTTTATGCCAGTACAATCCTTTTTTATTACTTTATTTATTACTTTTTTATTACTTTTTATTACTATAGCTTGTAGTATAGTTTGAAACAGGGAGCGTGATGCCCCCTGATTTCACAAGATGGCTTTGGCTAGTCAGGATCTTTTATGGTTCCGTGCAAATTTTAGGATTACTCTCTTTCATGAAAAATGCCACTGGAATTTTGATAGGCATTGCATTGAATCAATAGATTGCTTTGGGTAGTATGGACATTTTAACAATATTAATTCTTTCAATCCATGAGCATGGAATATCTTTGCATCTATTTGTGTCCTATTCAGTTTCTTTCATCAACGTATTCTAGTTATCACTGTACAAGTCTTGGTTAAATTTATTCCAAGGTATTTTATTCTTTTGATGCAATTGTAAATGGGATTGTTTCTCTAATTTCTCTTTCTGGTAGTTTATTATTAGTTGATACGAATACAGAATTTCTGTATACTGATTTTGTATCCTGCAACTTTCCTGAATTGATTTATTAGTTCTAACCATATTTTGGTGGACTATTTAGGATTTTCTATATCCAGTATCCTGTCCCCATGCAAATAGTAAGAGTTTTACTTCTTTCTTTTTAATTTGGGTGTCTTTTATTTCTCTTGCATAATTGCTTTGTCTGAGGCTTCCAATACTACATTGAATAAAGATGGTGAGAGTGGGGGCACCTGGGTAGCCGGTTGGTTAAGCATCCAACTCTTGATTTCAGCTCAGGTCGTGATCTTGCAGTTCATGAGTTCTAGCCCTACATCAGGCTCAGTGCTGACAGTGCAGAGCCTGCTTGAGGTTCTTTCTCTCCCCTCTTTCTCTCTGCCCTTACCTTCCTTATGCTGCCTCTCAAAATAAATAAATAAGCTCAAGAAATTTTTAAAAAATGGTGAGAATGGGCATTCTTGACTTATTTCTGATCTTAGAAGAAAAGCTTTCTTTTTTTCACCATTAAATATAATATTTTATGTGACCTTGTCATATTTGACCTTTATTATGTTAAGGTACATTCCTTCTATACCCACTTTGTTGAGAACTTTTATCATAAGTGGATATTGAAGTCCATCAAATACTTTTTCTGCATCTGTTTAGATGATCATATGATTTTTATCCTTCATGTTATTAATGTAGTGTATCACATTGAATGATATACAGATGTTCTAACATCCACTGCATCCTGGGAATAAATCCT